GCACCGGCCATCCCTATACAGGATCCGAACCCACAGTGCCGCACTTTCCCGAGTGAGCCATGTGGTCGACCCTAGCAAGATGTTTCTGAATCATGCTCACATTCATTGCAACAGAAGCTTTAAAAAAAAAGTAAAGAAAGAAAGAAAAAAATCCTCTCTTGTTTCTTTTTCTCTCATACCAAATAGTGACCCTTACATCATATTCCATATTATCCCTCATAAACCTGATAGGGATTTACTATCTAGTTAAAGATAATGATTTGGATTTCATTAATTCTATCTTCTTTTCCTGTTCTCCCTCCCTTGCTTGCTTCTTTCCTTCCATTTATTCATTAATTGACCATCTATTAGCTTTATGTCCTTAGTGATAAAGCCATAACAGAAACAAAAGCCAAATTCTTTGGGAAATAATGATAAATGAAAGTAGAAAGTCAACGGGAAGAGAGAAAGAGTTAAGACTTGAGAAATGAGGTAATAACCATGCCATTACTTTTTAAAAAATGTTTATAACTGACTTCCCTTTATTTTAAAAAGTCAATAATTTTTTTTAAATAATCCAGTTTTCATTCTGAATTTTCAGCATTAACTTATTTTCTTAAATTTGTGACCTAATAACAGAAATGTGTATGGGGCCATTTTATTCTTTTATAAATCATGTCATTTATTTAGCTCCATGCTTTAAAAAAATGCTTATTTTAAAGTATATATTTAAATTAATAGATATCATGATACTAGTGATGCTTTAAAAAAAATCTAATAAATTTGGAACTAAAATTATTTCCCAAAAAATCAAAATAAAAGATAAAACAAATATTTCTCAAAGACTTCCTATAAAAATAACTTTTATTTCTACCTGGTTAGAAGAAATTAGCTAAATATAAAACAAATTCAGAGTTTTGTATAACTATTTATATTAAATAAAAGCCACAATAATAAATAATTTAACTATTTCTGATGTTTTCATCTTAGTAAATATCAAATTAAAAGATAAATATGTAGATTTTTTTCAGTTCTGCCCTTTTTATTATCATTTAGTTGCAATTCTATCATAATGTTTTTCATTAATACTTAACAGTAGTATATCACTTTTTGGTGCGTCTTAATTTTCTCTATTCTGAGACAAAGTCACATCAACTCATGAGTTTTCAACAGAAGGATAATTAAACTTCTAGGGGGTAAACACTGACCCAGATAATTTATCAGGCACCCACCATCAAAACATTTGTTCCGGTTATCTGATTTTTGTTTTTCAGGTAAACATGCACATGGAATTGCTTTAAATGGTTGCCTTCTTTGGGGTAGAAATCCAAAGTGCGTTCAAAGACATGATATTTGGGAGAAAATTCTAATCCATATAGAAACTACATGTAACACCAACAATTTCAGTCTACTGTTCAAACATTTGTTATAAGTAAATAAAAAGAAGAGGGAGGAGGAAGACAGAGAAGGGAGCAGAGGGGGACGAGGAAAGGGGAAGAAGGTTTCATTCTTGGTCTACATTCAAGTCAGGACACTAGGGTTTGCTTTTCCTTGGAGCTCACTCACCATTGCAGTTGCCATTGGATAGAGAACTGAGCAAGGTGTTTTGTTCACACTGAAATGGAAACAAGCGTAAAGAAGAAAAATGTCATAAAATTTCATATCTCTGGGAAAAAAAGCACATTATTCTTTTCTCCATAATGAATAACAAAAAACTAGTCTCCAATAATTATTTTTCATTAGCCTTATTTTCAGTAGGATGTATACAATAAACTTTGAAATAAGAAAATAATTAGTTTTAAATATATATTAGTTCAGTAGATAATTTGTGTTATCAAGTCAGACTGTCTTCTCTAGAACATTTTCTGCAAGACTGTTTTTTGATTTTCAATCAGAAATTAAACTTTTTTGTGTGCTTTTCATATAGCATATCCAATCAGAATTAACTTCCTTAACAGAGCATTCTCAGAGGGGGAGCCTCCAATCATATATTTCATATTACACAAAAGTTAACTGTTCATGTGAAGTTCCATGAAAATGCCAGAGAAACATTCTTGATTTATGGAAATTCTGGAAATGAAAATGGCTCTGTATCTTGCAGTTAACCTTCTCTGACAATAATCAATGCCTCTAATGAGACCACATGCCGCTTCTCAAGTCATGTATTATTGTTATTTTTGTTGTTGTTGATGATGATGATAACAACTGATAATTTTTCAGTATTTACTATACACCAAGGATTTTACATTAATCATTTAATCCTCAGAACAATCCTATGAAGTTACTAATCTCATTTTCCACCTATGGGAGTTAAAGATAAGAAAGGTTAAATAACTTGACCAAAGTCTCAAAGCTATTATGAGCCTGGGCTAGAAGGAAAGCCCACGCCCTTCCAACTCCAAACCTCATGCTCCCAACCACTACATTATATTGGCCCTATCATGAAACTGGTTTTCATCTTAAGGGCTCACTAGAAAACCTCTATTTTCTCCTCTTAATACCCCATGTTGAAGTTTACATATTTTAAGTCTGGCTCTGACAGTTATCAGCCATACCATTTTCACCAGGCTAATTTACATTCCTAAGTCTCAAACTTCTTTTATATAACATTCAGGTAATGCCACTTACATTGTGGGGCTGGTGTTAATTAAGTTAGACAATCAACCAATATGAGTTTCCACTCTCTCCTCTTAGAAATACCTTGTCTGAAATTTCCTGTGCAGATTAATTCCAAATCATTTATGTAGATACCCTCCTTCAAGGGGACCATAACTCCCCATTCTGTAAGTGTGGACTGTGCATATTGCCTTCCTTCCAAAGAGCACAGTATGGAAAGAAAAAAAACAGGGTAACTTTATAGTAGTGAAACCTGACAAACACTACCTGAGCCAGATGATCAAGGCCAACACCAACAGTAACAAATCATGCTTGATAGTAGGTACCTTGATGTGATGTGATGATAAGGGCCCTTTACCTCTGTGGTTTTCCTCCCCAAAACCCATAACCCCAGTCTTACCATGAGAAATACACCAAATTCCAACAGAGGGGCATTCTACAAAACTCCTGACCAGTACTACTGAGTACCGTCGAGGTCATCAAAAAGGAAAGTTTGGGAAACTGTCACAGC